ATATGCCCTGAAACAAGCTGGACATGAAATCCTATTTCAAAACACAGAAGTACTGGACAACACCAGCAATCATTATTTTAGACTACACAAGGAAGCCACTGAAATCCACAAACACCAGCACAGCTACAACAAAAAAGAAGGAAGTCTAAAACTCAACAAAGCCTGGCTTCCAACACTGAAAAATACAGTCTGCAAAAAGGTCAATGAACTCTACCCAACCATAAGGACCGGTGATCACTGCTCACAAAAACTAGCTAACAACACCCATCAGCCACAGTGATAGATCATCTCCCCCTTATCACAACAATATACCCATAACAAAAAGCATGTCATATCAGTTACATACAAACTCTTAGAATAAATATCGCCAGACCTAGAAGGTATCCAAGGTCTGGTGATATTTATTTGTAATTTACAGGTTAGCTCTAGACATTTCTCTCCACAATTCCCATTTTTCTAAGTCATTCATTCTTCCCTCCCAGAAACCAAAGGGAGTTCCTTTAATTTTGAGTTATTTGGAAAAAACATCCCAAATGTGACTTTCCTTTCAATTTTCATTCTTTTCTCTTTTTTTAACCATTTCCCTCATTCTCTAAAATGTGTCAGAATTTCCTTGACACTCTTGATTTTCCCTTTCAACATACTTTTTGACCTGGCCTATAATTTATGAACTACTTCTTCTTCTGAAGCTGTCAGCAAAGTCATTTATTTTGAAGCAATTATTTTGTACAATGACAACAAGACAACAGCAACATAGCAATAGCAAACTAAGATGAACTTTTGAGTACAACAGCAAAAAAATTCAGGGTTTCCAAGGAGTTCACAATAAAAAATTCAGTAGGAGAAAAGATGGGAAATAAAGATATAGGCCGCTATCCAGCTCAAAATTTATGCGCCTTCACGGCTGCAACTGGAGATGCTCCTGTGGTGGTCTGATGTGGTATCAGATGTATGTGACATATACAAGACCAGCACCTTGACAGATCACCACAGCTGGAGTTCCCTGCAAAGACCAGCACCTTGACAGATCACCACAGCAAGTTCTGCAGCTGGAGTTCCCTGCCTGTAAATACTGAACAGGATGTGGATCTTGAATAGGATGCTGGCCATGTTGTTTTACTTTGACTTCTTTGATGAATCTGTGCCTTCTTTAAGATGCTGGCCATGTTGTTTTACTTTGACTTCGTTGATGAATCTGTGCCTCCTTTTTCATTAACATTAGAAGCCATTAGTATTTAGAATTCTAAGGAAATCATTGTGATTCACCTTCTATAGATTAGCTCCATTACTAATGTACCAGTTAAAACACAGCGTTTGCTGGTCAAATTTCTTGATTTTATTAATGTATTCACTAGATTTTTTTTTTTGAAATTTCCCACCAAAAGCACTTCCCCTCTGTCATGATTTTGGCCCTCAGCCTTAAATTTCACTCACCCTCTCAGTCTCTTCCTCCTCCTCCCTCATGGAGCTTTCCAGCGGAAATATTTCCATGATAATGTTTTCTTCTGTAAATTATTATTTTTTCATTCCTTTTCAGCAAACTATGAAAGTTATGACTTCTGCACCAATTTTCATGGATTAATTGCCATCGTCTATTTACCCCAACTGAGAAATACAGACTGTCTAAAACACCTGAGCCACGCCTATTTGTGAAATATTGTTCTTATTAACATGCTATAAACAGAACACAGGATAAAGGTTCATCAGATAATAATTATGGCTGCACTCATCAACTTAATTTTTTTTAAAGTTAAAAGCAAGAGAGCAGAGTTGCAGAAGGTTAATCTTTGCCTGTTGAACATGCTTGCAAGACAGGTGCATTTTAATTTACCTTGATTCGTTTACTAATGACAAGAAGATAATTAGGAGAATTCATTGTATGTCTCTGTAATCTGGGCTCAGGAAAAAAAAGGCAGATGGCATTGATTCCACAAAACTGTCTCAGTATTCTGAACATCTCTTACTCGGTCGGGTAAGTAAATTGAACGGGTTCCTTGATTAATTTGATCTGAGAATAATGTTACAGGCTGACATGGTCCACCCCTCTTGGAAATATGTGCAGGTTGGAACTTAATTATCTACTGGCTTTTGTACTTTTTGAGTGTTCTGGAAGAGTCATTATTGGACAAAATGCTTGCTTACAAAGCTTGAAATACCTAAAACACTGAGAAGTTACTTTATTGGATTACAACTCCCAGCAACCTCCAGCTGGTTGACAGGGGGTTTTTTTGGGGGGGGGGAGAAACTTTTACAAGCTATGTTATATTAATGAAAGTGTGACCTTACCACTTTATTCTGGATATGAGTGCAAAAATCTGCATTTTCACAGGAATGCTCCCAAATGAGAATATTTTATGGGATTGAAGGAGATCAATTCACTGTTCTCTCACGAATTGTATCAGCATCTGTTCGGACGTGACAACAGCTGTTTGCATAGGAATTACCTTCATAAGTGACAATTCAGACCTGAATCTGAATATAACCAACCTTTGTCGAATCAAGTTCGATGATGCAGGATGCTTTTAAGATGGACTGAAACCCTTTTCATTCCTAAGAATATCAAACCATTGTCTCTTTTGAAAACTTGATACTATACAGTATGTATAAGTGATTTGGTTTAATTCAATGTTCTCTGCTCTGATAAGCTAATGTTTACACTTCTCTTGCTTTTTAACAAAGGTGCTCAGGGTTACATCCATGAAAATTGTAGCATAAAATTTTGCACTTTACCCACATGTACCAATTACGATGAAAAAACAATTCTAGTGTAGCATTTTTGATAGTACTTAGAGACAAAAGAAGAGTACCACAAAATGTTCTCTTTTCATTTTCAGTATAAAATCAGACATTCTTTGATAGACTTGTTTTTCCCCCCAAAACATGACTCAACATAACACACACAACTTTGCAAGCATCAATTGACAGCCTATTGTTTTTCTCCCCACCTGAAGGGAACGTGTGGGACCTTGGTGGGGTATTCCATTATACAGTAAGAAGTGGAACAGACCGTTTCTCAAAGATGTTTCATTTCATATAGAAAGTGGCCAGCTCAGGAGTATCTTAGGAAACGCAGGTAAGTAGCACATCTCTGCATTTCTGATTTTAACATCGGAACTTGTACACTTACACAAAGCTTGGAGGAAACAAGTTGCAAGTAACATATTTGCCTGGAAATAGTTACTTTTTTGGTTTACAAGGGTGTAATAATGCTACATTTCAAAAATAATTTAATGAATTGGATCTCAGTTACTATTCTGTGCAACAAAGTCTAAATATTTTTCTACATTACCTTAAAAAAATTAATTCCATTTTAGAGTGATTTTCACAGGAACTTCTCACATTTTATGCGAGCCTGTTACTGAAGCCAAGCTAAAAAAAAAAATAACCAAGTTCATGGGTAATGACAACAGGTTACTTTTCAAAGATTACAACGAGAAGCTGGAATAAATTACTTTTTTAAAAAGAAACTTTCCAAACTTTGTGTTAATAGTACTGTACAATCTTATAGCCCAGGGAAGACTTCAGATTCCCCGTCCCGCCGCCCTGTGGAAACATCCATGACACTTATCTCTGGCAGAGATGTTCAAATATCAGTGAAGCTACATTATGATTGTCCAAGATAAGGGTTAGAATTGTAATCCTGTACCTATGTATGCATAGGTACAGGGACGTGGTGGCGCTGTGGGATGTGGTGGCACTGTGGGCTAAACCGCAGAAGCCTGTGCTGCAGGGTCAGAAGACCAAGCAGTTGTAAGATCGAATCCACATGACGGAGTGAGCGCCTGTCGCTTGTCCCAGCTCCCGCCAACCTAGCGGTTCGAAAGCATGCAAATGTGAGTAGATTAATAGAGACCACCTTGGTGGGAAGGTAACAGTGTTCCGTGTCTAAGTCGCACTGGCCATATGACCACGGAAGATTGTCTTCGGACAAAACGCTGGCTCTATGGCTTGGAAATGGGGATGAGCACCGCCCCCTAGAGTCGAACACAACTGGACAAAAATTGTCACGGGGAACCTTTACCTTTTACCTTACCTATGTATGCAGGAGTAAGCCCCCTTTAACTCATTGTGATTTAATTCTGAGAAGACATATGGAGATTGCACCGTGAGTATGGTAAACACAAGGTGCTGTGTTGCAGAGCTTTATGTGTGACATTGGACCAGGCATTCACGTCCAGTTTAAACTGTCTCTCAGGGTTGGTGTGAAAGTAAACTGGTGCAAATGGGGCTCAAATACACTAAAAAGAACTCCTTAGAATTAAAATGTAACATGTAGGGACATACACATCATCCTTTGAAGTTTCAGTCTGTTTCAGATATAAGAACAATACTACCTTCAGTGCCACAATAGCACCTCTAGTTGTGGCCATTCCTCTGTAACCCCAAGCACAGCTACAGAGGGAAGTGCGTCCAGATAGAGAATTCCTAGGGAAAGCAAAGGGCATTGAACTGCCACTAGGGAGATTAAAAACCTGTTCCTATTCAAGCCTATTAAATAGTTTATGGAAGTTTAGGAACATGTCTAGAAGAGGAGAGATGGAGTTTGATGATGGGCTGAATGGTAGTTATGACCAACAAGGACTCAGGATACCTGGTTTCAAAACCCTGCATGGCCATAGAAACTCACAGTGCGTGTGTGGCAGCACTGGTAAAACCATAATAACTTCCTCAATGGCTCAAGGGGGCGTTTCCTTCAAAAAGGTTAAGAACCACTGGCTTAGATAGCTCACATACCTTGCAAACTCTATTAGAATCGGTGTAAGTTGGATGCAACCTGACAACACAAAAGGTAGCCTGGCTTAATTGCAAAAGCCTTTTGCAAGTGCACCTAGTTGTAGCAAGTTCCTCCCTTGGCACATGGATAAATGGGGGAAGTGGCAGAAAGAATAACTTCACTTTTTTTGAACTACAGATCCAGATGGCTACATTACCTGAGGTATTCTGAGAA